AAAAATTTTTACTAATTAAAAATAAAATTTAATTAATAAAAATTTTTATACTAACTTTACAATTAGAGCAACTCTTTTAGAAAAAATCTAAAAAATCTGAAAATAATATATATTAAATTACAACTAATAAACTTTATTTTAATATAAAATAAAAATTATTTCTTATTAAAATTATAAATTTTAATATAGAGAAAAAATTTCAATTTTCACTATATTTTATTAGTAAATTTAGCCTCTGAGTTATTACTTTTGATCATCATTGTATATGAGTAAATATAATTAATTAATTTAATTTATATTTTTAAAAAGCAATAAATTATATTTAATAAATTAATAATATAAATAATAATAATAAAAGAGTAAATAAAAATAATTAATAATAATCTAATTAAAAATACTAATAATCTAAATTTAAAATTAAAAAATATACAATAATCATTTATATAATAATATACTGTATATAATTCTAAATTAATTAAATATATAATAATTATTTGTATATTCAAAGTGAAATTAATTTTTATAAAATATAATATAAAAGATAAACTATAATACAGATAATGTAAAATAAAAATCTAAATTAAAAAAATATAATCTAATCAAAAATTATTATATAAAAAATTAATTTAAATTATTTTTTATTTAATATAAAAAAATTATAAAGATTAGTTAAATTTGAATGATTTTTATTAGAAGTAATTATTAATTTTTATATTAAGATACAAATCTTTTTACATCAATTTATATATATTAATTATATTAGTTTAAATAGATATAGAAGATAAATTATAAAATAAAAATAATACAAATTTAATATAAAAAGAATAGATATTATAAATAAAAATATTAAATAAAAAGAGAAAATAAATAAGTAATAATTAAAAAAATTAAACTAATTTTAATAGAAAAAATAATAATAAAAGAAAAAATAACAAAGATAATTAATAAAAAATAAATAATTGAGCCTATTTTAACTATAATTAAAAGAATATTTTATATAAAAATATATGTTTTTAATAAAAATATTAAGAAATCATAACAATTAATAAAATTAATCAAGCAATTTAATGTTTTTTAGTCTTCTAATTAATAATAATAAGAATATCAAGTAAATAATAATAATAATTTTGAATATACTAAAGCAACTAAGTCAAAGAAAAGAAATTCAATCACAAGAACAAGATGATAAGAAGAGTTATTTAAACTATTAAATAGGAGTGATAAGAGTAAAGTACAAAAATAAAATTAAAATTACAGAAGCAAGATAGAAAAGACAGATAAAGAGTGAAAAGCTTGCTTTTTGATTATATTAAGTTATTTTTTGTAAAGCAAAGTTTAAAGAATTAATAAATAATATTATTTGTTCAATTTTTTTGTTTGGCAAATATATAATAATAAATGCAGTCAAATCTCTTGGAAAAGAAAAATTGGATGACTATAGAGAGGTGTGACTATAAAGAAGTTTTTTTAATTAACAACTGGAAAAACTCAAAAAATGACTATAAAGAGGTGTGATTATAGAGAGGTCAGATTGTATTATATTGCAACATTTGCCAGAAATTTCATGTGATCGGAAATCACGTGTGATCTCGTTTCCGTAAATTTTCTTCCATGATTAAGGTTATTAACAGTCGTCCCTCTCTATTATCAACATGATGGGACGGGTCAGGCACGAAATCCCAAAGAACACAATCCCGAACGTTCATAAGCCCGAAAATATAGTATTCTAAATGCAAAATTCTCACGATTTCGAGATTTTGTATATTCGGGATTTCGTTCGTTCGGGATCTCGATCATTCGAGATGTCAAGTCATTCGGGATATCGTTATATTTGTACAACGGCAGAATGACGACGACATGACGGCGCATCAAAATTTAATGAGAAATTAGCGTTAGCGCAGATTTGTAAAGCAGATTTTAGAATTTGATTCTTAAATAATAAAACATGATACTTTGCAATACAATTTCGTGACGTCCAAACACCATCTCCCGCGAGTTAACATAGGAAAAAATGTTTCCCTATCAAATAATGGTAGCAAATAGCGGTATAGGAATCGAATAATGATAGCTATAAAGCTCTAAACTAGGGAGCACTCCATTATCAACCCTACTCTAAGCGCAATAAAAAACTAAAATAATAATCACAATGATAATAAAGCCGTCAATAATATGTATACAATAACAATATGGCAATACTATGAAATAACAAAATAAAAACATTAATCATCAAATGTCAATAATTTATTTATTATGGCAGAATCTATTTTGGAGTTTATTGCTATTTATAAATTGAAATGGTTGTTTTTTTGCTTTAAAATATTAATTACTTAATAATTTATCTTAAGTTCAACAGTCTAGGAATCATAATTTGGGCAAATAGTCATTTGGCCATTTCGCGGATTTAGCAACTAAAAAATAAATATGTTTCTCAAATAAAGTTTGAATATAACAACGCTAATAAGCCTAATTTCTAAGGAACATGCTGATCCAACAAAAAGAATTCGCGAAAATCGATAAAATTCTATCTCTATGCAAGTAGGGAGCTAAATTCAAATATAATCAAGAATACAGGACCAACTATATACAACAACTTTCGAAATCTTTGGAAACAAGATTCATCGAATTTCAGAATTAAAAGTCGTTGATTTTTTGAGAAGCTGTTTGGACTACCAAAGTTGATTTGGTTGGTAGGGACAGAAGGCAACCAAAAAGTATTAGATTGGTGAGATAAAAGATTACAAAAACTAAGTCCAACCAGAATCAGAAAATGTAAGTTATGAATTCTTTCGAAACATTGACCGATAACCTCATTGAAGATTATGTATACAAAAAATTTTACATGACATACTGGCTTCGTTGCGTATACACATATGTTGTAAATGGAGCGGGATCCATTTGGATATGGTGTTGGCCCAAATTAGAATGGGGGTATGACGAGTTAGAGTAAAGGTAAGGGCTAGTTCTAGGAATAAAAAACTAGTGCCGTCAAAAAATTCTAAATTCGACATTAAGTGGGATTCCGAAACACAAATTGCATTATTATTTATGGATCTAAAAGATGATGTATGATACAAAGCACAGAATACAAGAAAAATGTTGATTATGTGGTTTGTACGGATACAAAGGGATTATACCGAATTACCGAATTCAAAGCATGAATTGCCATCAAATAAAGGAACTCGGATGTGATCAATGGAATCGGATCCTTTTTAATTTCGAAAATTGTATGGTGTAACTGGACGAAATTCTCATTAGGGATGCCATTCATTCAGGATTTCGTTTGTCGAGCTTATGAACTGTCGGGTTTGTGATTTCGTACCAGACCCAATCGAACAGATGTATTGAATTCCTTCGTGGATGGTAAGGTCATATTTCTTGCTCTAACAAAGTTCTCGTGAGCTCATCATATTCCTTTTTATAATTACGCTTGTTTGTTTTTATCTAAATGCTTACTTTTTTGTTAACCGCACGTAAGATGTAAACATTATTCTCTTGAGCAATCTAAATTATAGCTCGCTTCTTACCTGTGATTGGATAATTGAAACTTTTACTTTGTCAAGCAACCTGCATCCAAATAGTATTCCTTTGATGATACATATCTTCTTGCTAGTGTTATAGGCTATTTCTAAAGGTAGGTTTTATCTAAGATTTAGCTTATAGACAAAAATTGGGATATACACTACCCTCGGAAAAGTATCCGACCAGCTAAGCTAAAAAATATTTATTTATTTAAGATTTATAAATATAAATATAACATTTAATATTCAGTAGGCCATCCTTGATTCTTAATGCATGCTTCGATTCTACAGTATTTGGCATGCTTTCTATAAGTGTTCGACGACCATTCATGGAAGATGGTCTTCCGGATCTTTTAGCATTTGATCCGTTATTAGAATTAGCATGTCGGATGATTGTATCCGTAGCAGTGGTTTTTGGAATCTTTAAAAGACGTGAAATAGCCTCATGAGTTCTTCCAGCTATCTTTAAACCAATTATTTTTCCACATTCAAACTCATTTAATTCACGACTTTTTTCCATATCGAACGGCGCAGTTTAAAAATTACGTTTTATTAAATCTGATCTATGCATTGTCACACAAATATAAACATATGTAAAACCAGGGGATTCAAAAAAATTTATAGTTTATACTGTATGTCCGATCTTGTGCAATTTTAAAGAGCTGGTCGGATACTTTTCCGAGGGTGGTGTAGACTAAAGATGGCTCCTCAACTGTTGTAACGTGGTGACAAATAAAGCATCACCTAGTTGCAACTAGTTGCGACTTATAAAATTTTGGAGTTGCAACGGTGTTGCAACAGGTGACAAATAAGCGTCACATACTTGCTGCGCCATCTTTAGTGTAGACTGGCTTATTTATATCAATGAATGGGGTCAGGTTGTTCCTTGTGCCAATACTTATGTGTCTTGTTGTTAACAATTAATCTTTAAACAAAAGGGTAAGGGATTATGATCATGAAGGAAAATTTTAACTAAGGTTCCGATCGATTCGGTTCGGAACCGGTTCTAGAAATTCGGTTCGGTTCTGTTCTTCAATTTTATAGATCCGAGAACCGAATTGTTTAAATCTGACCGAACCGATAAAGAATCGAACCGAACCGGATCTAGATGGTTTAGTTTCTGTTCGGAACCGAATCGAACCGAACGGGATCTAAACGGTTATCCTTTATAGGTGTCTAATACAAGATGTATATCATGACTTCGTTCACCAAAAGGTATTACATTGGTGTATGATTTTCTATTTGACTCCTATAAGGAAGTACATACAAATTTCTTGGTTATATTTGTCAATATTTGTTACAATGCTAACAGCAATTCGCATTAATAATATACTATTTACAGAATGTAAGCTACGATATACAAATTTCGTTTCAATTGATCCAGTGTGTTTTGAACAAGATTCAGGACTATGAAGATACGTAATAGTTAACGAAAAAAAATCCTGATTCAAATTCGTCAATATATATAAATCTGTAATTACAAATATGAGTCGGGATGCAATAATTCATTAAAAATTCAAATTAATAATTCATTTTGCCACATAAACAGATACAACAGTATGCTGAAAACTTTGATCTTTACCCATATATCAATCTAAACATCAAAGTTTCTCAATTAGATAATCGTTGGAAAGTCAAATATCAAAAACACCTGCAATCAAACGAGACAATCACAACAACAAATACAGATATGAATAAAGAATAATTCGATTATGTTATAAAATATTCGGGCAAAAGATCGCTGGTTGGATTCCTAATTATAATGGAAGATGCATTCACATCTTTATCGAAATGTAGGGAAAACTTTATATTGATGTTCTATTTATACGAGAACTTATTTAATTTTGCTAGTCGAAACCCATTGTAGTTGTCGGTAAGTAAATAGATAATGTCGAAATTAGTTATTTTCTGGCTTTGGGTTTATAAATCTTATCTCTGATTATTAACAAACCGAAATAGAATTAATTAGCATAAAGAAAATAGCTTTTATATTTAAAGAAGAAAAATCCAATAGCTCCTGGCTTTCACCTATTATAGTAATAGCAAAAAAGAATAACAAGAAATGATTTTGTATTAATTACAGAAAACTCAATACTCTTATCAAAAACAATACTTACTCTTTACCAACAATATCTATATTTTAGTTCATTAATATAATGTCTAATCAAAACCAAATTGTCATTCTTAATATACTGTATCTTTTCCATCTTTTTTCCATAATTTGCCATTTAGAATGCCCTGGATATGTTCCATTCCATGGGCTGAAACCTGATTTGTATCTGGAGGAGTATATTATTCAGCAGTGGATACTCTAAAGTGAGGGAGGGATTTGTGTTTGGAGGATATGATATTGAGGAGGTATAATTCATAGTGAGTGCAACATGCATTAAATTTTTCCAATATGCTAATTGATCTTTTCTTTTTTTCAAATGTGTAAACTTCTTTGATTTTCTCTTTTTCTAAATACATAATAGTTCTTCAGTTTATAATATTAGTAAAGTATTCTTTATATTAAATTAAAATTAAGTTTTTAATTGCCAGTCTAACCAAAAGTATAATAGAAAAATGGTGTATTATACCAAAAAGTAACAAATATTAAAATCAAAAACACAGTTAGAGTATATATGAAAAATTAACTATACTTGCTTATCTTAAAAAATAAATCTGGTGCTAGCAAATGTAATACAGCAGAAAAATTTGATATTCAGCCTAAACAAATCCAAAACTAGATATATAAACATGAAGAATTGAAGTGTTCAAGATCTTAAATAAAATGACTTACTTCTGGTGTGAAATTCTAATATTCAGCATTAGAGAATAATCTTGTTATTTGAATAAGATCCTTATACCAAGAATAAAAGGTTATATCATGTTTTATAGTTTGTTTTAAGACAAAATCTTTGGCAGAAAGATCACGCTTTCTTGTAATTTATCTAAATATTGATTGTAAATGAAGTGATAAGTAATTGGATGAATTTATAAACTATTACCATCTTAATATTTGGTATCATACTACAGTTTCACAAAAATTATCAAGCTGAGTTAGAGTTAACACAACATCAATTTTTAAGTTTTGTGTTAGATCAGCATATTCAATAAAATTATTTCTTGGTACTAATTGGAAATATGGATGAAACACCCACCATCTATTGAAGAAACTGGAGCAAGCATTGTTAGCATTCAGATAACAGGACATGAAAAATCTAATTTTATCATTGTATTAGCATGTATGGCTAATGACAAAAAGTTACCTCCAGTATTGATTTTTAAATTGGTTAATATTTTATGCCAAAAGTTTCCAGCTGAAGTAATAATTTGTACTAATCAAGAAGGATATATGAATAGTAATAAAATGATTTGGTAAATTGAAAATATATGAGTTAACATTCACCATTATTGAACAATCCACACTTCTTGTTGGTCTTGGATTCTTTTTGTGATTATTTGACTGATCCTGTCAAAGATCAACTCAAATGAAAAAAATATAAACATGGCTGTAATTCCAGGTGGATTGACCAGTAAACTTCAACCATTAGATGTATATATAAACAAATCATTTAAATCAAAGGTAAGGTTAGATATTTTTGTATTATTTATTTGATGTATTAACTTACATATTTATTTATTATAGTAATTGGATGGCAGAAGAAACAAAAAATTGATGCCTTCTGGCCACATACAATGTCCAAGTTACAGTATTGTTGCTGAATGGGTAAAAATTGAATGGGACCAAGTTGATACTTATCTTATTAAGTGCTCATTCAAATGTTGTGATATCTCTAATGCCCATGATGGAACTGAAAATAATTGTATTTTTGATTATGATTGGGTTGAACAACCTCAAAGGTTTGATCAAAAATCCTATAATTAAAAATGAAGATGATAATTCAGGAAATGATTTGGAAAACGATTTGGAAAATGAAGATATTAATTCAGGTATCAATTTAACTCAAGGTAATTTGGATGACTTTGTTGAAACAATTGAAGGTAATAATACAATATCACAAAGTCATCCAATTGATAGTTTGAAGATGAGTATTATGATATCGAGAAACAGTAGATTTTACAAATGTATGGAATTAAACTTGGGTATATTAAAATAATATACCCGGGTATATTGTTAGGAGGATACAAAGTTAAAATTTATAATGTACCCGGATATAATACATTTTACCAATATTAATACCTATGAATTAGACCCGGTACAATTCATGGGGGGTCTGATGTTATTGGGGGGGGTATTCTAAACGGCAATTTACGGTAGATTGATCTTTATTTTTTAAAATGGAGTAGAAATAGCCACATTTCGCATTACAAACGTATTTGTATTCAAGAGATGATATGTTTGAAATGAAAATATAGTTATCAAATATTAAGTGCAAATATAAATTTTATCTTCTTATACATGTGATAGTTTAAGATCTGCGTTTTCCTTAAAGTTAAAATATTGATTTATACTATATGATAAAAATGGAATGATAATATGAAACAAAAATGGTAATTATTCAATGATTTATTCATTTATTTCCTTCATATAAACTATGCGTGCAAACAATATACATGTACATTATATGAATTAAAAAAAACCACTTTTGGTTCATTGTAAATCAGCTAAAGATAACGATAACGATAATATCTAAATCTGGGTTTTTTCTTAATTTCGTGTGATATACTAATACCGAAATCTGTTTATTATCACAAAGAAATTAAATATAAATTTATCTTTCATTTGAACGCTTGTAGAACCTGAATATTTGGTATATTTAAATCAATCTGAAGTCATTTTTGATCGAATAAATTATGAATACAATCACATTCATAGAAGCACTCAAACTCTATGACTATATAGAAGGTGTGACTGTATAGAATGTACCTCTATAATAAAATTGGCATGAATGTGCTTTTATAGAGGTATTGTCCGAATAATGAACGGTGGTGAATTTTGTATTTCATGCATTTGAAAACCCAGCTACAAATGAATCTGCATTCTGTAATTTAAAAATAAATTTATTTAAAATCATTCAAAAGGATGTTGAATGAATGTATTCGTTTTTATGATCTTTGAAATTTATATGTTAGGAACGCTTTCTGCAATTTTATCTCCGTCATTCTAATTCAAGACTCTCTTTAAATTTCTTTATCTGATTAAGGATATTTTAAAGCGCTGTAATACAGAAGATGCAAAGTATTCGGCTCCCAATCATCTTCATTGTTAGAGAGGATCTATGTGATAAAGTATTCAAGTTCCTCAACAGTTAGTCTGTTTTCTGGAATAGGATCCCCACATTTTTCAAGAATAAATTTACATCATTCGAGAATATTATTTGCTATCGTACTCCTTTATGCAAGATATGCCCATGACTCTGTTCACTATTAAGAATTCATTCGTAGTTGTATTGCATAATAAGATAAACACTATAGCATTTAAGAGCAGCCTGAATCTATTTTTGAAAACATGATTTTATTCACTTTAGAGATGTTCATTTACCTCGTTTATAAACTCCGGAGTAATTTGCGTAATAATTTTAACACGACTTCACGTTCTCTACTCAATCATCCAATGGTCCATCCAACCAGATTGCTTTATAAATTTCCCACGATATTCTACGTCCAATTTTGTTGCATTCTTCTTAGAATGTCGATATTTTTATCCGCCGTCGCTAGACAATTCATCGTATTGTTAAACACACATCACTCTGCCAACATCTACCATAATCATCTCTGAGTTCACTTTATAAAATGCATTATATGAACATGAAATGATAGCAAACAAACTATATAATCGATGTGTGTCAAAAAACTTCTATTTACTTGTTTATATCATTTATTGTGTGCGTGACTTATGAAGGTAATTTTATATTAAAAAAATTTTTTGGATTACAAAAATAGTGTAATGGTGATAGCACCAATATATATATATATATATATATATGTGATTATACAGAGGTTTTTATATAAGAAAAAAACTAGGAACAAAAATATCTATGGTTAAATAGAGGGTGTGACTATATAGAGGGTGACTGTATAAAGGTATGACTGTAGATGTTATTCATCTATTTTTTTTGGTTCGTTGGATTTGCATGTAAGGTAAGGAGAATCAATGATTAACGATTAGTAATGTAACGTGTAAGTGGTGCGTTTGCGATTTCACTAAAGATACACGATTTGAAGATCCGCTTGTCATGAAAATCAGTACAGCACATCGGATATTTTGGGGTTTTACGAATTGTTTATTGGCATTTTCCCTGATTGTTCATTATCGATAGTAAAAGTGGTGACTTGAATATATTTTTAGTTGAGATGCTTTATTAATAAAAAACGAACATGTTTTTACTATACAATTTTCTATTATTTTTATGGTTCGTTATGCAATTTTCTACTTTTTAGTTATTTTTAATACTTTAAAATTATCAATGAAATGAAATAAAAATTAATTATAACATATTTACAAATACATTGAAAATCTAATATAATATGAATATGAAGAAAAACTAAATTAATTTTTTTTTTTTTACTACTTTTGAATGGGAAGTTGGGGTTTATCGTTTAGAACGGGAAGAGAATCATATATCTTTAAATAACCCGTTATCACTCAGTATTCTTTTTCTCCCGATGAAATAATGCGTTAATAAATCCGCACAAGCATCCAGAGTCGGTAATTTCGTCGTCTTGTGTATAAGTTTCTGAGCGTATCTCTAAGCGTTTACGCCGTGTCATGTAGCTTATTGTTCTTTTGAATGATGGTACTTTGGTGGTTTTTGGCGGGAAATTTTCATCCTTTTTGTTTGCTTGCGTGTAGTCAGCTGTTGTTTTTCTCATAGGAACAACTGTTGAGCTGGTGTTATTCACTTTTTCAGTGCGCATTTTTTTTTACGTGTATTATTATGTGTATGTTTGTGAGGGAGGCTTAAATAATATTATCTATATATTAAAGTTGAAAGTGTCTTTATATGAATAAGAATGAGATTTTAAAGTTGCAAAAAAAACTTTGCACCTCCTATTTATACTTCTTCAGAGAAACACAGCCACTAATACACTATGAATGTTTCCATATACATATCAAATTTTCATTTTTAACCATAACATGTCCCCGCTTCCAACTTCGACGGAGAATAATGTAGTGTAACTGTTCGTCAATTCAAAGTTTACTAACGATAAAATATGGACAGGGGACACGAAACACATACATACACCGATACATATGCTGTGTCGACAAATAAACGAATTTATCTTACGCCTTAAGAATCTGATTATTACACCATAATGATAATAAAAGTGTATGAATGATTTTTGAATTACTGGTTTAGTCTTTTGTGCATCACCTTATTAGGTCATTTTATTTTGGACAATAACATATCGTTTCACCATTATTTGTATTTCATTTCTTTTCTTTTTATAGAATAAATGCCGATGGTCGAACTTTTGGACCCTTAAATTGAACGTATGACGATATTTGTGATTTTAGTTATTCTTTTAAGAATGAAATAATGAAATTTCATTTCATCTCGGTTATAATGTAAGATCATCAACAGAAATTCATGCACTTCGGAAAGGTAGATTCCAGAAACTTATAATAATAAAAAACCTATCTATGTACATATGTATTTTATAAACTTTATGCTATTCCTCTCCCCCCCCCCCAAATAATTAAAAATCTGTGATGATGTTCAAAACATTTAGTTGTTGCCAAGTTTCATGTAGGCACGATAATTAATTAAACTTGGTTTTGAGTTTTCGGTAATGGTTACACATGTTTAAATTAAATGCGGATCAGCTGATTTGTGAGAGTCGATACATATTTGTTTTGTTGCAAAATCATCCTATGCTCTGAAACATAGGTTTTTTTTAGCACCCGTATGATTAGGAAATTTTTCTATGATAAACAATGTTAAAACATATGTCAGATACGTTGTATGGGTCCTCGTGGCAATAAAAACGATTAGTCACATTCTCCATCATTTGCTCTAACGCCCAAAGCTTAGAAAGTTGAAGGTGGCGTTTATGAAGAAGTCTGATTCAACCTTGACATTGATCCTCCTTTTTCATCGGCGTAAAATCCTTGACATGACCCATGTTTGCGGTAAACTCGGCATTAAAATTCCTTGTTTCCTCCCCTATAACGCGTTTTCCGACAAAATTGACTGTATTAGGAAACATTATTATTGTGCCTATTATTAGACAGTTTGTTTGGGGAATATTCAAAAGATTTATTTCTAAAAATTATTTATTCTATTTATTCTACATATAAAAAATCACATGGCTTTTTGAAAGTCTTTTTTCTTATCATCACAAAAAAAAAGGATATAAATGCTGGACATACATAATTATTTTAATCTATTAGTAATCTTAATTGCTCTTATGCTTTTTTTTAACTTTATTATATACATAAAAATACAAGTTTTTATATTATTTCACGCCAAAAATCTTTTCTTGATCAAATTAAAACTTAAAATTCATTTTACGCATCCTTGCTCAGCAAAAAAGATATACGTTCTTATCCATTTTTGTGCTAGTTATTGAAATTTGTGTCATCATGTAATGTGAAATCGCGCATATATTATGTATGAGTGAATGAATGAACTTATGTACTCTCTAAGAGAAGTGTGTACAGATTCGATGAGAGTGACGATAAGCCATTTATCGTGAAAAAAGAAAAATTTCAGCTTATAAACAAAAATATTTACCATCTCACGTAGTATCGTCCTTATCCCCAACGAACCCACCCAACAAACCCATCCTCGACCTTTTCCCGCACGATTCTACTGATAAATTTTCTTGCTTCCTCTACCGATTTATGATTCTGAATCTGTACAGCGCGTTCTTTCTGTCCCCCATTTTTGTCGAAATTTCCATATCGAATACGCGTGTTCACTCCCTCAATTGTGAAATCCCAAAACCTTGTGTCAGTTAATAAATGGCCAGATCCTGAATTTAATTCTGTGTTAATGCTATTTAGTCGTGCAAGTTTCTGTGAATGAGCTGAACGATATCCCGTAAAGTAAATTATTGTTGATGAAGCAACTGAAGAAGACAATGAAGAGGAAGATGATGTTGATGAAGCGCGAGATATGCAAGATTCCATTCTGTTTTCGTTATTGCTAGAATTCTGGCCCGAGCTACTGTTTAGTTCAGAAGCAATATTATGCCTCGACCCACGTGTATCGTCGTGCGAATAGTTTTCGACAAAGATGTTGGACAGCATTTTATCTTTTTTTTTTTTTATCTCTTGTTTTTTCTTGGTGGTCTCGTGAAAAGTGATATCCTGATAATAGAAAATAAAAATTCCCAATAATGCGCGTTCTCGATTTGATTGTGTTGTGCTTGTGTGTGATTTCGAAGATATTTAATATTCAATAAAAAATCCGAGAAAAATTCAAGAGAATTAAAGGAAAAAATCTATTGCATTTATTATCATTATCGCTATTGATCATTTATACATAAATAATTGTCATCATCACGATTTGTTTTTTCTGCCCCAAACTTTCCTGCGCTGTTTCTTTCGTCGTGTGTTTGTTGTTGATGAGCATTCCTTTTTGAATGGTTACAATATAAAAAATGCAATATAAAATAGTAATCTAATGTTTATCTGTCATATCCGTTTTATCGATAATCACCAATCAACCTATCAAAGCAAACCAGTTTGATAGTATGAGAGAGATTTGGTGATGGCGTGTAACGTTCTTTTCTATAACACAACTACCGGTATTAGTAATGATTGACCGTTATTTACATAAATATGAAGTCATTTGTTGAACAAACCGAAAGATAGACAAGCAGTTTGGTCAGTCTTTGCTTTCTGGTCTTATGATCGATATAAAAATAGAGAACAGATGAATACATCTACAAGAAAATAACGATAAATGGAAGAATTAACAGGAAAATGGGATGAACACACGAGGAACGACCAATTGTTTATTTATATGCTCCATGTATCGGCCCGCAAATCCACTCGATTATCTTGCATTCTTCATTATAAAAATGCTTCCGAAGAGGTGTGACTTGCGTAACGTCGCGTAAAATGGCAAACCCTTCGATCACAAGATATCTCTGTTATGTTATTATTATTGTTTTGAATAGGGGTGTGAAGAAACATTTTTTAGTGCAATCGATTTCTGTTTTCTTTCAAATTTGATTTTTGTTGGCGAATGGTTCCTTTTTATTGATTTCGATGCAATTACTGATGCGGATGATAGTCACCACTATTTATCGTCAAAGGAGTTTGACAAAGGGGTGGGAATAGGAAAATAATTCAATTAGAGAGCCGGAATATCGTTGCAATTTGTCCCGTGTGACCCCACATTATTCCAACGTCTAGCGCGCTAGACTATAAAAAGATAACCAGTACATATATGGCTAGATGATGATATCATATAAAGTGAATCAACGAAAGCACGTCACCATATTGCACAATAGAAATGCATTTTGAATTTAAAAGCAATAACTCCCTTTTATTTTGATATGAAAGAAAAATTTCATCAATATTACAAATATTACAAATATTTTGTACTTTCATACATAGCACAAGATACACTAAATTCAAAATTTCAATACACGGAGATTTCACAATTGAAAAGTTGATAATGTCAATTCACGACCGCGAACAGAACATTAAAGTTAAATCAATAAACTTAGCAAGCTCAAGTGCTAGCGACGACGAAACAATAGCCGATATGCATTCACTTTCAAGCCAATCATCTTCTCCAAAAGAAAAGGACAGTCATAAAGAACAAAATGGAGACAATTACGCCAAATCATGTCATTTTAAAAGTACATTGCAACAAGATATGAACAAAAACAACAACAACAACAACAACAACAATAGTAATAATTATTTGCAAATAAGTCATAGTAGTGATAATATCGAGGCTAATACAAAATCAATTAAAACCTTTAGTGATCAAAGACCACCACGTCGTCAAAGTTTCTTCAGACGAAGACAACAGTTTCGAAGTCAAAGTTTCTTCAAAAAAAGTTTCTCAGAGTTTCGCAACAAGAGAACCGAAACATACAATGAAGATGACGAGGTTCCTATTGGTAAGTATGAAACAAAGATATGCTTGCAAGGAAATTGAATGAATGTATGAATAAATCAATGTTTCATTCCTCGTAATTTAGGTTGTTTTGAGTTTATTTCTCTTCAATGGTCAAACCTTCGAGGAAAAAAACGACCGAGTGACAATGACACATACTATGAACACCCACCAGTCGGAAGGATGGGAACCGGATCTTTGGCCCCGGGACATACGAAAAAATCGACACTCTGATTCAACATCAGTTCCTTCTGCTACTAGTGGTGCAATGATGATGATGATGCAAAGAAATCAAAATGGAGATTTTGTGTGCTTGAAATACACATAGTTGGAGTAACCTTATGTAATTATGATCGTTGATAATTGTATTATACGATAAACATAAAAATTAGATTTTCTTTTTTTAGTTTAGTCTTTTCTTGATCAATCATAACTACCATCGAAATATCATATATAGATCGAAAATACCAGAAATTCAATTATTGGTTTTTTGTAGTATTATTGAATAAAGAACTCAAAATATTTATGTACACGTTTTATGTGTCATACATGCATAAAATCAACGACCAAGTAAATTTTTCAATCGGATCGTGTTTATAACGATAGAAGAAAAAGATCTTATTGCTTATCCGAATGAAGAAAAGTGAGATGTTGCTGCTGCATTGTGCTACTCAATCGATTTCGAGACTAGCGGGAATTCAATAATGACAGTATATGCTAGACTTAATATGGTCTTCTGGAAGATCATAAAAGCCACTCGAGAGATTATTATTGTTGATTTGATGATATCAATTATTATTGTTGTTTTGATGATATCAATTATTCTAGTTTTTTCAAGAAAAAGTATTGATTCATTATCGTCATGAGCCTTATTGTATCCAATGCCGAGAGTTTTATATTTCATCAGATCAAAAACAAATGCAGAAACCAAGGAATCAGTAATTGAGCGTTTTACGTCAGTTATCGCATGAACCACCCCTTCATGGTAGTCCCTCTTTTTTTTAATTAATTATTTAATTAATTAATTAATTAAATTTTTGATGATTCCCGTATGCATAAATTAAAGTTACCTGGTTCACCTGGCTTTTTTTAGTAAAATCATTTCTGGAACTAAGACACCGATAATAACGCTGGGTTTATTTCATATAATTCGCTATTCATTGTTTTTAAAAATACATGTATAATTTTTTTAATATCGCATCATATAAAAAATTTCTATGACGCTAATAAACATATTCAAATATAAATTTACGCCACGTCACTCAAAAATCTCCTTTTTTAGTCAAAAACAATAATTAACCCCTAAATGTGCACCGCGAGCGTCCAATTAAATTATCATGTATGATCGTTTTGATGTCATTACGACGATAATAACAAGCAACGTTACTTCGTTGTGTCATCAAAATTCTATATCGAGCCAATCTAGCGTTTACCACTACCCGTGAAATTTCTTTTTATTTTCCATTTTTTGATATATTTATTTTTGAATAATAGTGAATATGACCGTAACGGAATATCCTTCCTTGTAGGAGGTGTTTTAATTATTCATTAAAATATTTCTATATTTTACTATTATATTAGGAGAATCCTGTCGGATTTTTTTATGACGCAAGAGTCGATAATCTCATTCTATTCTATATTTAAATGATATAGTAAGCCCATGTGCTGATTGGATCTACCACTTACCCCGAAAATATAAAGTTTGGCGAGCAGAAAAGTTCTATAAATATAAGGGACAACAATCGTTTCTTTTTCAATTCACAACACTCAAAAATTCAAAGTTTCAAAGTTTAATAGTTTCGTGAAGTGAGACTCTATTAAAAGCAAACAGAAACAAATTCAATAGCAAACAACAAACTAAAGCAGATCAATTAACTTCAATATTTAATACATTCAACCAAGAAACAGCGAAAATGAGCTCAGGAATCAACACCACGCAAATTTCCAATCAACAAGAACAAAAATATAACACAACCCCACACACACCAACATCAACGTCAAGACCATCGCCAATTCTTCGACTAACTTCGAATAATGTGGTACCAATAACAACAACGTCACCGTCAAATCGACCACCGCACCAACCACAAAAAAGACATAAAAGTTTTATGCAACAACGAATGTCTGATATAATCAGTCGAAGATCGGAGACGTATGGAAAACCGGATGAATTTGCGGACGTGGGTTGTCGCGCTATTTTACGAATTATCTTTTGTCGAGTGAGAAGAAGTTATTAAACTAAAAAATTTACTTTTATCTATTATCATTATTTTTATTCATTTGCTTGCATACATTATATCGGACAATTTTTTTTTTCTTTTAGCATTTATTTATATCATTTGTATTTATCATTAACCATTAAGATGAACATTCAACCAAAAAAAAATCATAAAAAGCATTGCATAATTAAAAATACATTTCTTTATTTTCTTATAATCATTTTATTCATCATTTATTCATTATTCAATGCTCACTTCACAAGTTTAAATTCTCAAAAATTATGCTTATCATCTAAACAATTTAAGCTAACCTCTTTCGTTTCATAATTTAACTTAAACACACACATAAAATTTAAGAAAACCATAATTTAACGTAAACAATCGATTGTATATGCACACAGAAAATGTAAAGTATATCACTAACTTAAATCCTACCATTTTACCCATGTATAATAGCCCATAGCATTTTATTAAAAATAAAATTTTGACATTCAATTGAGATAATTATTTACTATAAAGAAATGTTCATGCTTTTTTTGGCCCGTTCTTTATGTACAATGTACTATATGACCCGATACACCACACTCGTTGCTTTAATACACGTGTTGATTGTGAAATTGTTTCGCGAGATTAATTGGTCTATGAGGAATTTGGGATGCCTCATAATAAATTACGAGGAATAATAATAAAATCTCATTGAAGCATCAATATTCGTAACACGTACATAACAAATTTTTGTTTCGCATTCCATGCTAAGAAAGCATTAGTTTCGGGTAAAATACCAAGAATAGTATAAAGCATGATGAACAGTGTGTGATTTGTAAGAGTGAATTGTTTCGTTTGCCGAATCCCATCCCAACTAGACTGCCTTATTTTCCTAATGAAACGAATCCGATTGGTTGATTTTCCGGATCAATCTCGGGTAACGAACGCCACCTTTAAAAGCACACCCACAAAATTTTAAATTGCGAGAGTATTCACAAAAGTAGCTGTAGAAATGTTTTTAATAAAAAATAAGGCGCGTCGAAAACCTTATTGATCAAAACAGTTTTCAGCTGACAAATATGAATACAACAATAACAAAATTACCAAAAAGTTATAGCGATACACAATCAATCATTATATTCGTTGTTTCAACAGTCGGGGTGGTTTGTAGTCTCATTGGAAGTTACTACGTTCTGTATCGAACTTACCTGAAGTGGAGAAAATGTTTACAAAAATCCTTAACTCTTCCAATGAATTATCGTCTTCCTTTTTACACAGCACTTACTGGTGAGCTTTTTTTTTACTTGTGTGTTCCAGCATTCGCTATTACAGTTATTAATGTTACCTTTTACCTTTTTCTTATATATATATATATAAAGACATTTTTATATCCTCATTGCATATCACAAATTTCGTACGTATTCACAGGCCGAAAAATATGATAATATAATTTTTTAGATTTTACTGATGTCAAAAAATGTTTATAGTGGTATTTGATGGTGCAAAAGAGAATGTTCAGAAATCCTGCGTGCCAGATTATGGCTATTGTTCAAGACATCGGTTACGGATATAGCAATTTTCTTTACATGATAATATCAATAGCAACGTATCTTGAAGGTATTTAGGGAAAAGAACGTCATGAACTCTTGCACAAAGTACAAAATTAAAAAAAATTCGTTTTTGCTTTTAATCAAGTCGCCCGTAGAATACATGTGAATTTTGGTCGATATGATTATAGACTTTTTCTGATGATGACTGTGTTAACATTCCTAAGTGTTTTTCCAAAAGTCATGCTCACGACTTATGGACCACATCTCTATTGGTATGCATCTTTTTTAATCCTTTCAATCTTCTGTTTCACACATAATAATCTTTAATTTTAATATTGAACATTTGTAAAAGGTGTGCAGAAAAAAATTCTTTAACAAATTTCCTGTCAATCATGATCACAGTTGGCATCCCAATATTGACCACAATAATTTGTTTCATTCGTATTCGTATCTCCTTAGCAAAAAGGCGCTTTATTCGTCTTAACAATGCTGATTTAGTAGGAGATCGCACGGTGAAAACGGAAGAAGAGATTATAATTGGAAAAGTTGCAAGATATGTTTTGGTTTTTGTGCTTCAATATGTATGTATCGGTATGCATATGTTGTCTTCCTATTGCATTCTAACATGAATATAACGAGTTTCTATTCTAAAACAAGATTCCGATGCTTGTATTTGCTATTTTGGTATTTATTCGTAGAAGTCATCAAACTCAAACATGGAGCTATGTCTTACTAATATTTGGTAGGAAATCAAGAAACTTTTTATTATATTTCGTTTCTAAATCTTTAATTAGTCTTATCCAAAAAAAAAACAGGATTTAGTTGTGGCGGAATTGGCAATGCCATAAATTTTATTCTGAGCGAACGACTAAAAACAACCGAAGTGAAAATAACAGATCCTGATTTTTCATTAGAGATCTTATCCATCAAAACATCACCGCCACCTGATATTAGCAGTCCCGCTCTAATTCGGCTCAAACATGAATCCATCCTGGAAATCGATCAAGATATAGCAGGATTTCCTACAAACTTACGATGACAAGTCACTCTTTGAAATTGACATTTATAAACAAAATGCTTTTTAAATACGAACATAGAATCAAAATTGGGGAGGGGATTATAACGTTATTTAATTATTTCACTATACGAGCTTAGAAAAAGTAGCTGTGCTACTGGCTTTACTATGGTTTTAAACTTATCATTGGCGTGTCGGTAATTGTGTGAGTTCAATATAATAAAATACAATTGATCGTAACCAAATGCTTGAAGTTTTTTCCCTTTGTTCCATTCAAACTATAAAATATGGGGAAGTGTGTGATTTTACTATTGTCGTCGATAACGAGCATGTTCTTGTATACGAAAACACATTATTCGTATTAACAATGAAATTTTGAAGTTCCAATGCATACAACCATGACTTTATATAAGTCATTATCGTTGTCGTTGCGCTAGCTAACTATTTACCGCCACAATTACAAGGATGTTATGAACAGCATTAACCCCATTCCCGCGTCTAATTTATCCTCTTTGATGTTCCAAGAGCTTTTTATTTTAACTCTGCTTAAAATTCAGTGATCTTTGCTTCTAAAGATTTCAGGCATTGATATGAAGAGAATTGTCAATATTTAAAGAATATAAAGTCCTTCTTTAAATATATATAATTATTAATCTGAATTTTTCATTTTTAAAAAACTATTCATTATTATTTTTCATATGAATATCAATTTAAAAAAAATTTTTATTATAATTTCTTTAAAAAAATTTTATAAAAACATAAAATTTATTATATAACAAAATATTATATATAAAATTATTAAATTATTATAAAAGACAATATTAAAATAAAATTAGTTTATTTAACATTAATTTATAATTTATTATATTTTAGCAAAAGTAAAAATATATAATATTTTGCTTGTAATTTATAGTAAATTATTTAAAAATTATGAACAACTTAGTTAATTTTATAAATCATGTTAATATAATATTATTTTCAGAAATTTGATATTAAAATATTAATTGAAGCTTTAAAATTAATTTTGAATAAAAATTATCTAAATTATAATCAATGATAATATGATTAATATTTATAAATAGCTAAAAAAATTAGAATTTTATCTATTTATTAATAGTAAAAAACTAATTAATTTATAATTTTAATAGATTTTTAAATTAATTATTTTTTTATAATTTAACTTAATATTTTAAAATTTTAAAAATTTTATATTAATTCAATTAATTTTTCTTATTAATAATTAAAAAATATTTTTTATAAAATTTATATAAATATTATTTAAATAAAAAACTTATAGTTTGATTTAGAAATTTATTTTTTATTATATATTTATTTTATTTTTAATAATATTTATAATATAAATATATTATAGTTTTACAAAATATTATAATAAATTTTAATTATAAAATATTTAATTTTAATAAATTTATTAATAAATTTTTAATACTTTTTATATTATATAAAAATTTTATATATTTAATTATTCTAAATAAATTTACAATATAATAAATATTTAATAAATTTATTTATAAATTCAAAATTATATTTTAAATATAATAATTTTCATAATTATAAAATTTATAAGCATCTGCTGATGATTCTTTAAGTGATTTATCTACTTAATCCAGTTTTATTATTATTAGTAACTTATGATTATTTAGCTAGAGAAAGAAAATATCAAAGAATTGTAAAAGAAGAAGAAAAAGTAAAAAAGAAAATGAAATTACTCAGCTCTTATTAGAAGTTTCTGAAGAGAATAAGACCAATTTAGAAAAGAAAAAGCAAAAGAAAGAAAGAATTCATCTTCTAATTCTTGTAAAGAAAACTGAAAATTATAATATACTCAAAGACTTAGCATCTCAGAAAGCTAATATTACTATTGTATAGCTTATTAAAACTTTATCTGAATAAAGAATTCAAATATCAAAAGAAATAAGAAAGGAACTACAGAAGAAACTTAAATAAAAATAATATTCATCCAGAAAATCAAAACTATATTAGCTTAATGTGAAGTTAAGGTTAATAAAATATCCATAGATCTAATTGTTAATACTAGAATATTAGGATGTATTATTAGTCATGAATTTCTTAAATGACTTGAAATAAAAATTCAATAAAAATCAAATATCTCTATATTTAATATTAATAGATATTTTAAATAGTTACTAGAAGTAATTAATAACTTTCCTATCACTATTGATAAAATTATAATTTTAGCAGAAGTGAATATTACTGAAGCTTGAATCTATAATTTTATAGTAAGAATAGACTGATTAAATAAGATCAATTCTAAAATCAATTTCAAGAAGAATATAATAATCTTTGATTGAAATGGAGAGAAAGAAAAAGTATCAATCAAATTCATTTATGGATAATAAAATATTTAATCTGAAGATAGTAATAATAACTCTAAAATATCTTCAAATAAAACTACTGATAATGAGTTTGAAATTAAAGATCAAAACTTAGAAGATCATAATTTTTTTTATTAAATATTTGATAAATCCTGAATTCAGATTCATATTTCATCCAGATAATTTAATAATATTATTATCTTTTTGATATGAGTTCTGTTATAAGGGTAAGTATTAAATCTAATATTATAAAAGTACATAATAAAAGTAATCATATACTTAAAGTAATATTTGAGAAAGTTTTTTGAAAGATTTATTAATAAGAATATAAATACTAATATTTATCTAGAGATAGATAATAATAGTATTCTTGTTGTGACTAGTTAGAATATAGTCCAATTCCAAAATATAATTTCAAGACAGATATAATATTCAGTTTATTAACAAGACAAAATAATAGATCTTAATCAAGATCTATTTTATAAGAATAATTTCTTAGAATTCTCTTAAAACTAAAATTTACTTAAATATAAATTAAAAACTAAACTTATAAAACTTATACTAAATTAAATAACTAAATATCTAACTGATTAACTATCTATTAACTGTCTGTCTAAATTTACTAGCTAAGATATATACATTACTTTTATATATTTTAGAGATTATATAAATAATACTTTTGTTATGATACTTATACTAGTTTTACTATAATTTAAATATTATTTTAGCTAGTATTATAATATTAGTTTTATTATGATAGTATTATTAGTTTTGCTATGATAGTTTTGCTAACTTTATTATGATAATTTTACCATAATTATTATATTTGCAAAATCTTCTAAAAATATCTACAAATAATATTTTCTAAAGCTAATATTTAATAAAATATAAGTAATTATTCATTTAATCATATTGTGATATGAAGTAATCAATAATATATAACTAATTATTATTCTACTAAAAGTTCATATCACAACAAGATCCTCTTCATTAGCATTTTACTCCATAAAATTTAAGACTGAGTACTAAGTTTCTACAAGACTTAGCAATTCTTCAAAGTTATTATTAGTCATTCTTTCTAACTTGATTGATAATAACTTTCTTAGGCTTAGAATTACTTGTTCTGAAATATATTAAAATAATTTGCTAGTTTTACTAACAAATTTTCAGTATCAAGAAGTTAAGTTTCTAGTCATTACTTGTAAGAGTTTGTTATATAAAAATAGTTTTTCTCTAGTTGAGTTTGTAGTAATAATAATCTCTATTATTTCTTGATCTGTTCATAATATATTGAAATTGATATTCTTATTTAATAGAATTGCAGTTACTATTTCTATTGTGATATTTATTAAATTAATTCTTGCTCTTGATTTGTGAAGTAATAGTATATTAATAAAAAGTTTGAATAAATAAAAAATAAGTTTTACTAAATAATTAAATAAAAGAGATTATTTATAATAAATAATATTTTACAGATAAGCATAATACAGGATAAATATGATAAATTAAAAGATAACATAATATAATTAATTTGAGTTACAAAAATTCTGGATTAATATATTTTTCAGAAAGATTATATAAAAGAGAAATTTTCCAGACAAATAGAATTATAATATGGACTAATTTTCATATTCAATTTCTATGTTATAATATATAATTCTATAATTTTGATTATATTACTATAAATTTAAAGGTTAGTATAATCTTGTGTTATATCAGATAATTAATTATTCAGCCATATAATTCCCATTGATACTTTCTATATTAATTTGATTTTTGTATTTATTTACTATTTTACTATTAATTTCTCTTTTATTTTTATGATAAAATTATACTTTTTTATTATTTATTTTAATATTATTAATAGTACAATTTTTTTATGAGCTTTACCAACTTAATAAAGATAATAATATCATTTTATTATTATTATTATTCACTTTTTATTTTCCTTTTATCTTGTTAATACATTAAAAAATATTATTTTCTTGAAAAACTAACATTTTTTTTCATCTACCTTATTTATTAAGTTAGAACTATCATTATTATAATATTTGATTATTTGAATATACATTATTTGACTTTAGAGATTATTAATATATTGCTTTCTTTTCTTGAAATTCAAAATTTCAAGAGTCAGATAGTACAAAGGATAATTGTAATATAATATTATTATTTTTCTCATCATATTTATTCCTATTAGTTATCATGATTTATGAAATATTAGTAGTATTCTAATTATATTTATAAATAGCTTCATTACTATTCTCCTTGACTTCTTGAATAAAAGATAAGTTACTTTTATTTTTGTTATATTCTTGATCATCTAACTGATAGTTAGTGAATTAGATAACTTTATATTCCAAATATCAATTAGTTCTATCATCTTCTGGAGTCAAATCATGATTACTAGAGCCAAAGCTATATATTTCATAAAGTGATATCAGACTTTTTAAATATTATGAGAAATGAGGAAGAAACTTTTCTTCTTTCAATTTAATATATTTCCAAAAGAATATAGATAGATATAGTTTCTCATCTATATTCTAATAATATTCAAGATAAGTGGTAGAGTGAGAAATTTCCTATCCTTTCCTTGCATTAAGAGATAAAACTTTTTCTTCTTTTGAAAATTAATTTGTGATGAATGAGTAATCTCTTCTTCATCTTTTT